ACCTAGCTATGTTTCTAAATTGAAACTTTATTTTGGTTGCTACGATGGATATATGTATATTGGGTTTTTTGAGATATACGTCCAGGTTACTGGGCTATGCTTAAATAACAGACTTCACCCTACTAGTAATTTGCAAATGCATTATCTCTGGGTTACGGTGTTACAAATTTTGGTATCAGAGCTTACGTTTGATATGTTTTGTAGACACGTGAGCTTAGGTCAGTAGTGGACAAGGTAGGGTGTTGGGGTGTCAGTCGGAGTGAGATACGAATTAAAAAAGAAGGCTCATGTTATACTTCTATGCATCTTCTATATTGAATGCATTTTGTAGCATTGTGAATTATGAATTTTATAACTGATTTGGATTAAAAAGAGACGAAGTGTTCTTATGTTGTATTGGCTCGAATTAATGCACAACGAGTTTGATTTATTGAGTTACAAATGGAAATATTGGCAACTACACAGCAGAGCATCTAATACATTGTGGTGAGTTATGTAGTACGACTTATATGAGAGGTTCATGAAACAAGGGTTTGCACATTTTTAGTGTTGAAAGAAGAAGTTTGAATTTAGTGATGGGATATAAAATGATGCTTGACTAATTTAGTTTCAGATAATGAAGCTTTTGTGTTAGTATATACTAGATGTGATTAGTTGGTGAAAGTGTTTAAAGCTAATATTTTTCTAAACAACACTGCTATGAGCAGGTGCAAGTTTCTATGTTTTGAACTCAGGTAATGATATCTATGGCTGAGTATGAAAAGTGATTTACTACTTTTGTCTCGTGTTGCTACTACTCTTGTTCAGATCACTGATGTAGGATGTGAGGAGATGTGAGGAAATCCAGTGGGGACTAGATTACTCTATTTCAGAATTGTATTCTAGCTTTTGAATTGATGAATTATATTGTTTTGGCAAATGAGGTTTTGGTTGCTGAAAAATATGTGTAGAAATCAGTTAGTTGAAGGGAGATTTGACACTACACCAGTTATGGGATTCCTATTGGAAAGGCATATATTCAGAGATTGTGGGTTGATACTAATACATGGGATTCAATAGTACTATAGGTATGGGTAGATGGGGTATGTAACGCGAGATTGTTTGAAAGAGAGGCTATTATGTTACTATCAGTTTGCAGTGTAACCATCGGTGGTAGGGGTTCATTGGGGAGACGCTAGAATCTCTAATTCTCAAGGATGAGTATTGCGATGACGTAATTAAATGCATGTGCTTTATTTAATACTAGATAAAATTACGTATTATTCTAATACCCTATTTAATCTTGTCTTTTGTCCTTCTATATTGTATTAGATCGGATTATTTTATTTAATCCATCTATTTCTAATACAGCAATCAAACGAGCCCTATGAGGCACTCGAGACTAATGAGGAGGACGTGAGCGATGACAGGAGCGGAGGTTAATAGTAAAACTCATTGACAATAAAAAATTGAGTATTCTTATGGTAAGTTGGTGCAAGAATGTGTACATGGTTAACGTGGTAGTGTTTAGGTATTACATGTATTTATTGTTGTATCATTAGATCTGGTTAAATTCAGATATTCTAAATTTTAAATTTGATAATTTCATTGAAATTAAATTTAATGTAAAAATGATCTATTTTTAATCGGAGTCAAATCTTTGCCCAACTGAGATCATGGTTAGGTTGGGATTTGGATCACTTGCTCGAATTGCAAACCCAGCTGTTGACGTCTTTTATTGGGACCAATGAAAAAATTGTAACTACCTTTTTCAATGCATAATCATTTTTTATTTATCCATGCAATGAAACTTGTAAATGTACTAATCATAACCCATGCCTAAAGATACGATAAAATATAAAATTTGAGCGTCTAAAAAATCAGTCCCACTATATTAAATTTTTTCAACATGTGAGTATATGAATAATATTTGAAATAAAAATTATATTAACCATAAATTAATTAAATATTAAATAATTAAACATAGGATAAAATTGAGTGATGTGATATTTTAAGAAAGAAATATATAAATGATTAAACATGTAATAAAAATGAGTGATGCAACTTGATGTTTGAGTCTGACAAAGGAATGATTGGTGATGTAAGTGATTGAGGATGGTTTTGAGGGGCAAAATATGACTAGGATAAAATTCAAAGTATGAGTTGTTTTATTATATAGATATGTGAGTATATGAATAATGTTTGAAATAAAAATTATATTAACCATAAATTAATTAAATATTAAATAATTAAATATATGATAGAAATGAGTGATATGATATTTTTAAGGAGGAAATATATAAATAATTAAACATGTAATAAAAATGAGTGATGCAACTTGATGTTTGAGTCTGACAAAGGAATAATTGGTGAGGTAAGTGATTGAGAATGATTTTGATGGAAAAAATATGATTGGGATAAAATTCAAACTATGAATTGTTTTATTATATAGATGGTGATGAGTATAATGTGTATTTTCGATAGTGATGGATGCATTTTCATTAAACTTGGTTTTATGCATTCCGTTGTTGTACATGCACATTTTTTAACCCCCTATATTTTTGAATTGTGTGTTTATTTATTTTCACGCCAAAGGGCTAGGTGGTGATTGTGGATTCTAATTGCATGAGTTCTATTAAATGTATAAAAATTCAAGAATTATTGGTAGACTTTATTTCTCTTGACATCCAAGGGTTTTAATTGATATTGGGAATGAGTCGGTTATCTATTCATTATGTTTTTGTGAATTGTTTCAAGGAAGAAGTTGTTTTTAGATATTAAATGAGTTTGGATTCGGATTTCAAGGTGATCACAAGGTGACAACTAATTGCTTGATAACTGTAACCAAAGCTCAGAAGGAAAAAAAATTATTACTTAGGGTTAATTAGTGTACGTGAAAGATACTAGTAAGGACGAGATCAAGTTATTTGAGTAATTTTTGGTCTGTGAGTTTTTAGATGTGTTCTCAGATGAATCATTCGGGTTGACACCAGACTCGGAAGTTAAGTTTGTTATTGAGTTACTATTAGGGGCCACCTTTATACTTCTGGCTTCATATCGTATGGTACTTGTCGAATTAAGAGGAATTGGAAGAGCAATTGCCCAATTTATTAAATTAAAGTTCCGTTCAGTTTAGAGTACCCCCTTAAAACTCTTCCTTCTGGTAAACGTCGTGTCAATTGTCATTGGATATACATAGTGAAGCCTGATAGTTCAGTTGAGCATTTAAAAGCCCGTCTAGTTGCCAAAGGTTACACTCAGACATATGGTGTAGATTACAATGAGACTTTCTCTTTTGTTGCCTGTCTTAACTCTGTTAGAGTTCTTATTTCTGTGGCAGTGGGTTTTTGATTGACCTTTGTATCAACTGGACATCAAGAATGTCATTTTATATGGAAACCTACAGGAGGAGGTATATATGGTACATCTTCAAGGTTATGTTGTATCTGGTAGGAAACAATTAATGTCGTCAGAAGAAAGTACTATATGGTCTAAAACAATCACCACATGCTTTGTTTTCAAATGGTTCTAAAGTCTTTCCAGTCTTTAGTTTATTTTAAATTAGCAGTTTTCTAATTCTCATTATTTGTAATTGAGTTTCCCGCATCCCCAGAAAAATGCTCTCCATCTTGAAACATCTATAGCGTTGGAATATTTCAGGTGAATTTTTTGTGGCATAAACATATAAATGTCATGGTCATTTTCATTTTGCTGGCTAAGTTGTATTTTTTTTTGCACACGGTTTATTTATAATAATACAATTGCTATTCTTTTTTCTGCCATTGAATTAGAATTGCAACTCTGGAATCCCTATTTGTTAGTTGTAAAAGAAAAAATAACTACTAATGGCCACGTTTCATTTGATGATTATATGATTATGGTCCCCCACCGGCTACCACTTCTCCTTTTGTCTTCTCCAAACTAAGTCTTGGTTCCATCCCCGCTTCCGCTTATATATAACAGATGTAAATTTTCACTGTAATCTTTGAGAGATGAAAAGCCTTTGTATCATTAAAAAGCTGCATATGTAGCCATTGCCTAGGCAGTACTGGTAAGTATCATCAACCATAAGATTTATATCTACTTCTCTATAGGTTTAGAGGTTTGAAAATCTCGTTTTCCTTATTTCTTCTCCAGTTTTTCTCTTCAAAAAATATCTCATACTTCATCCTGAAATATTCAAAGGAGCCCCAAAAAAAGATTTTGATCCTTGATTTACTGTAAACTTTTTTGAAGGAGAAGTTACAGATTTTTGGGGGCATTTATGAAGGCTGAAAAGAGAAAAAAAATCAACTTAGTAGCCCATTTGTGCTTTAAGAAAGTAATTTTTTTGATTACTATGTATGGCTTCACTTGGATCTAGGGTGTGTGCATTGGTTGACCAGCTCCGTTCTTTACAATAATGATTTTGGATACATGAACTAATCCAAATGCATCGTACATTTTATGGTAAGGAATAAAATATTACAAAATAAGGAACCCTTTTATATAAAATGATATCCAGGAGCAATCAAACTGAGCTTATAGTGGCGTTGATTGACTTGGCTTAGGATAAGGGTTGGCGAAAAAACAATCCCTATAAAAGATTTAGGTGTCGTTTGATAATTATGTGTTTATGATTTTTTTTGTAAATAAAAATAATAACATATTTAGAGGGTATTTTTATTTCTTTTTGGGCTGGTCTATTTTGTAAATAATTATAAATTTTGAAGTAATGCTAGATGGACTTAAAAACTAAACTTAAAAATTTGACTTGATAATCTCAACCATTGAATATATAGTGGGTCCTAATAAATGCTAGGACCTATAGTAAAATCAACGATTAAAATTATCAAGTATAATTTTAAATTTATATAACATTGTTTTAAATTTTGAAAACATTAAAATAGATGTTGTTAACAACGAAAAACAGAAACACTCACCCCATATAATCATTTAAAGAGGTGTAACCTTCAAATCAAATTAGTAGCCAAAAAAAAAAAAAAAAAGAAGGGCTTTTTTTAATTCCAACTATAAAACCAATGTTTACCCCTTTTTGGTTCCCGCTCGTTCATCTCTCTCACGAAGCCAGCGACAAAAGAGCAGCGAAGCAGCTCTCAGATGGAATCAAATTTTTAAGGTCAGATATCACTCTGTCTTCGTAACTCCTCTCTATGGAATCAAATTTTTAAGTTTGGGTTTGTTATATGCATAGTATATACGTAGATCTGTATATATATGTATATTTTGCCCTAGATCTATGAATATATTATTGTTATATTTGGTTAGATTTGGGTGTGAATGTGTGTATTTTTTCGCCTGTGTGTGTGTGTTTTCGCCTCTGTGTGTGTATGTAACAGACTACTGTGTGAGTGTGTAACAGAGAACTGTGTGCGCGCGTGCGTGTATAGATATATAATCTGTATATATATGTATATATGGCATAGATCTGTATATCTTCATAATATATTCATAGATGTATTAATCAAAATTTTCATGTTATTTGATAAATCTGCATATATGGCAGTGTGAGAGGATTGAGGGATTTGGGATTTGGAATTAAATTTTAACCAAAATAATACTAATAAAATACTCTTAAAATATATAATACCAAATATGTTTTTTATTTTTATTTGTATACTTTTTTAAATATAAATGACTACCAATATATTTTTAATTTTTATCACAATATAAATTTTGCTTTTAATTTTTAAAAGCAAAAACATTACTAAACGCACCCTAAGAAAGAGGAGGATGAAAGGATATAATTGCAACTATATATGTGACAAAAAAGGGAAAGGTCATACCTGCAAAGAGAATGCCCTGGGTTTGCTTTCCATTGTCATTTTCTTACCCTGGGATAGTGACTAAAAGCACTAATTTTCTATCTTCTTTTTTTTTTTTAAAAGAAAAAGAAAAAAAATACTTATCTCACTTGGCCTAGTGATGTTCTCCTTATCTTGTCTTGTTTCACCTACCTCTGGCTAGGAGGCTTATTTCCTCATTGTGATATAATGATGAATTTGCATTTTTGTTGGCAAAACTTTCTTTTCACTTGATTTTGATTTATAATATTGCAATTTTTCCCTTTATATCAGCATATTATGTTATGAAGAGAAGTGGCAAATTTTGACAAGAGAGTAAGCTTCTAAGTAGTGTTGGCTATGTTGCACCCACTAAAAGAAAAAGTTTTGATTTCTGTACTAGAGTAAATAAAATAAAACTCAGTTGACTGCCCGTTGATGGGTTTTCGGAGGGTTGACAGGGTACATATACAAATCTTTTGGTATTATTTTCACAAAAGTTTTGATTTTCTTACTGGAGCAATGATACGAATGGCAAGGTACTGTATTATACTTCTTTAGCATGCTGACCCTCTTTCTTCTTGTCTAGGGTTTTAAGTTTCTCTACCATGGGCTTGGATGCAAGGGTTTTTGAGCTAAGCAACAAATACAAAACTCACCGAGCATGGGCTATATCTATGCACACTTTTTCTGATCTATCACGTGTTTCTCCACTGGTGTTTTTATACCTCTTGAGAGAATGTTATGCTTATGGTAAAATTCATTCCTTCCGTCCAGTATTTATTTATTTGCAATTCCTTTTTCATATGTTGTTCTAGGAATGGTTTATTGTCACAAAGAGCACTTGGCTAGCTGTGCTGATTATAGATATGGGTGGTAATCGTGTCATGTTGTGTCATTGTATAACATTGTCAATCTGCACTTGACCCGTTTACTTAATGGTGTTAGGTCTTCTGACACGAATAGAGCTCAACTTTAAATACGAAAACCTGACATGATTTGTGTAACATGATTAATACACGGGTTGTGTCTAGGTTGACACAACACACATGGCATGTTAAACACGCCTAACACGACCAATATATCAGCCTATTTAATCATTAACCAATTTAATCATTTTAGACCTATTGAAAATAATGTAAATCAAACCCAAAAAAATATATTTCACATGACTAACTACGTATTTTATCTACATTTTAGACCTACCCCAAAAATTTATTTAATGGGTCATGTTCGTGTCTATGGTGGGTCAATTTCATGTTCGTGTCCTTGGCGGGTTAATTTCGAGTCACAATTAACGAGTTGTGTTCATATTATTGGCAGGTCAATTTCGTGTTTGTGTCGACATGATTAATGAAACGGGTCAATTGTGTTAATAAATGTTACACGGGTTGAATCCGAACAAGACCTGTTTACAAAGTCATGTCAGTGCGTTGTGCAATTTTCGTGTTCGTGTTGAGAAACATTCAACAAAAACCTGCTAATTGTGTCGGTTTTGAGTCGTGTTGGAAATTGTCACTCCTAGTTAAAGAAGAGAAGACTAGATTATTTTGATTCTCACTACCAAAATAATATGTTGACAAGAAATCTATTGAGGTTGACATGTGGCAGGCAGCTAGAAGTATTATCTCATTGTTCTTGTTTTCAAAGTTGGCTACTTATTTCTATTTATGCTGCACATTTTAGAAGAGACGCTCAGGCAACTAGAATTTTTCTGTAGTTCCTTTCATTTTTTTATTCCCCCGGATTATATATGAAAATGTATGGGAAATTCATAAAGAAGTTATAGGGGTTATTGCTGAATAGAGCACCTTCTCTACATAGATTAGGCAGACATGCATTCCAAACCGTTTTATTGGGAGGGCGTACTATCGACTATTCGAAGGGTTTACTTTGAATAGATTAGACATATAGGCTATTAGGCATTCCAACCTGTTTTAGTTGGAGGGCGTGCTATCAACAATATAAAGTGCTTTTTTTGCATTGTCTTGATAAAGCATTGCTCATTTAAAGATGTGGGAAGATATATTTTGAGATAAGAAGCTCCTTACAATTAGGAATATGTTCCGCTGTTTAGGAACAACCCATGAAATTGCGAAATTTAAGTTCATTTTTACCATTTAATAACTCATAATCAGATCTTGTCAAGCAACCATTTGCAACCCCTCTCCTGTGAACTTTTATGTCGCCCAGCTCTCTATCATTATATCTGGTTGAGGAATCTAGGGATCAGTCTAAGTAATGAGTCTCCCAAAATATTTCTGCATAGAATCTTATGTGTGATACTTTAGAACGTGAATTTTGTTCTGCTTCAAATTAAATCAAATAATTCATATTTCTACACTTCATATGGAGACCTGAAGCATGAGTGCAAATAAAAAACGTCTGAAGTAGCAACTTTTGCTTTTTCTTGTAAACTGATTGCCTTTTGCTTGCATTCGTTCATGGATTCTTGCAATAATTTTTTTACAGATTTTATTTTCCATTATTTTTTGTTATTTGACAGGTACATGCAAAGCAACCAGAAAGTTTCGTTCTCTTCAACAACAAATCCATCAAGTTTTATATAATGCTCCCCAACCTGGACCAGCCGTTTTTGTTGCTCGCTGCCTCTACATCTTGCCTATATTTGAATCATATTGCGAAGGCTTCAGTCACTTAATCCTGTCTGCTCTTTGTCGTTTTCTGAAAAGGGGAACCACCCCGGAAGAAGACTTGTTTGAAGCAAAAATCCTTGCTGTTCAATTATTTCTTGGTATTGTTGGGGGCAGTATACTTCATGATGAGAGGATTCTTATTAAGATACTTGAAGTTTTTGATGTCGGTTTGGTCAACATTGAGAAAGTTATGTGCAATTCAGATGTGAAGAATGGCAACATTGAGAAAGTTATGTGCAATTCAGATGTGAAGAATAGCAGTAGTTTAGACGCATCAAAAGCATTCATTGAGCAATATATTTTTGTGTTGTTGGAATCCCAGTCATATATGACAGCAGTCACGCTGTTAGAACACTTCTCTATACGCGAGTCTGGGGAGTCTTTTCTGCTTATAATGATGGAAAGCAAACAATACAGAGCAGCAGAAAAGTGGGCGACGTTTATGGGGAGGCCAATATTGTGTGTCCTTGTCCAGGAATACATTGATAGGAATCTGTTAAAACATGCTTACGAGATTATAAAGAAAAACAATCTTCGGAAGGAATTTCCAGAAGTATATCATAAGGGTAAAGAAAGGTATTAAGTTTATATTTTGTACTTCTGTGAAGGTCATATCATTTGTTTCATGTTTAATTGCCAGAATTCTTATTAATTTTGAAGGTTTCTTTTGCAATCCCCATTAAGAGTGACGATTTGTTCTCAATCAAGTTGCAGCTCATTAAAGAAGCTTGCTGAAAAGGGATGCTGGGGTGTTGCAGAGGCTAGGACGAACAGTGATAGACAGCTTCTTGAATATTTGGTGGGCATATTTCTCTATGAACAACTATTAACCTTTTTTCATTTTTTTGTTTATTTGGAGTATGCTTTTTATATTCTTATGCTCTCCCCTTGGAGATTTGCTGATCAAGTTTTCGGCGTTAATGAAATTCTCCTATTTCTCAATTCTCTTTTAAATCTTGATTTAGTTTGAAAGTGCGAGTGCGACTTTAATTGCCCTGACACGCTTCTTAGAGACATGAAATTCACCTTGAATGACGTAGAGGCTAGAAAGCACGGATATAGACACATGTGTTGTATACGATACGGATACGGGGATACGATAAAATCTCAAAATATAGGACACGAGTACGGAGAGGATATGGTTAATTAAAATAATATAATGTATTTTTATATATATAATAACATTAATAATAAAATTGAGCAATTAATTAATATTTTATAATTAGATAAATGAGTTAATATTAAATTTAATTAGTGGGCTAATATGTTATGGGCAGTGGGCTAAACCAAATTGGGTAGTGGGTGACAACTAATAAGGTGTGATTGTAATATAGCATAAAATATAAGAAGTTCAAGGGTTATTTGTAATTTAGCAACTAGGGTAATTGGTCAACGATTAGACCTGATGGCATCAAAAAGAGAGTGTGTGTGTGTGTGGTCAAAGTCAATTGAGGTTCGAAGTCGTAGAACTGGAGAGGCTTGAAGTCGAAGTCGAAGTCGAAGTTGCACATCTGGTATGGTCTTCTTCCTTGTAGTCATAGTCGATCGAAGATAAAGTCTTTTTCCTTTCTCGCCGTCGTTGGACCGGTGGAACTTGGGAGGGAAGGGAACAAAAGTCAAACAAATGATCAAAGCTTTTCCCCTTTTATTTTTTCTAGAACCCCGCCGTATCTCCACATGTATCCCCAAGTATGCCTCGCGTATCCTAGCCGTATTTGGCTGCGAAAATGGCTCCTCTCCTGTATAGGACACTTTTGGAAGTATTGGACACATGTCCGACACTGCCACGGTGACCCCCCCTCAAGTATTCATGCTTCCTAGCCTAGAGGTGGATGAATAGATCTTTCGTGCTCAAAATGGAAATTAATGCCCAATTAAAACTTAATTCACTCAATTATCAATTAATTAATCAAATAAAGAGCAAACTCCTTAATTTGACCTTTTAAACCTTTGTAAGGATGAATTTATGCAAATACCTAAATTCAACAATCAACTCAATACATAATCCACTAACCTTATTCCTATACAAAGAGTAGGGTAGGGTAAAGAGAAGCATAAACATAACACTAGAAATTTTACGTGGAAACCCTTGCGGAAAAAATCATGGGACCAAAATCAACCTAGCCTAATCCACTCTATTCAAAGTCAGATTACAAGTTCAAAACTTTTACCTCACCCAATACCATATTTAGATTTCTTCTCCCTTGAATCTACACTCCGGCGTCCACTGTAAGCTTTTGAATACTAGCTTCATTAGGCAACGAACCGAGCTACACAATCGACCATTGGAATCATCCTTAGATCTTCTTCTCTAACTATGACTTTCTGGTTCTTATTAGATCTCTCTAATTCTTCAAAATTGAAGGTTAAAGCGCAAGATGATCTTGGTAGATTTGTGGCCTTTGAATGTTAGGGCGTTTAGGGTTTTGTTCTAATCTCTCAAGATGATGTATAAGATTATTTTCAGGCTTGTGAGTCTTACCTTGGTGAGAAAATGTTGTCCCCTATTTATAGGTCTCAAAAATAAAGTTCAATTGAGAATCAAGAAAGCTCAAATTCATGAGAGACAACTTGAGTTGTTGACTAGCGGTCATTGGGTTGTTTTCATTAGAATGCCAAAACGAACAAATCCTGACTGAAGCTTTAGGGACTGCTCGAGCCATTTTTTGACCACTCGAGTGGTCTAGTCAGTGGTGGCTATTTTCTAGTTTTCTATTTTTTCTTGCTTTCTCCTTAAGTGTTTAGAGACCGCTCGAGTTGTAGGCCAATGAGCTTTTAGTGGTTATGAGACGAACCCTTGGTGCCCAACACCCTCTGTGCCCATCATCCCTTGTTGAGCACCAAGGGGTGTTGCTCAACTATGGTCCGTCTCATGACGTATTGAGTAATTTTAAAACAAGCTTTGAATTTCAAAACGTTTTTTCAATAAAAATGGAACGAGTTATGTAAGAAGTACATCCTAAATCCATTTATTATTAACCTAAGTAAACCAAAGTAAAAACACCAAGACAATTAGTTCTCTAGGTTATTATTACCTTTACCTAAGCTTTGAAGGATTCTAGGAAGTCTTCAAATGTGACTTTGTATATTAGACTTCATCTTCCTTTTTTACTTTGGTCTTCAACTTCATAGTATCATGATCATGAATTTAATTGAGATATTTACATGTGATCTCATGACATTAATTGTTACAAAATTAATTTCCTAACAATCTCTTTGAAGGAAATTTCGTAACAAAATACAAGAGAAATAAATTAAAAATTATAACTCGATAAACCACACAAAACAAAAGTCAGTGTTGAATGATGAATTTTTTAATTTACATATTTTTGGTGTCAGCTGAAATTTAAGTATTGAATTGAATTAAACTGTTTGACAAATATAAGGAGTTTAAGTCTATAAATTATTATTATTATAATTTTGCCATTTTTTTGACTATCTCTTCATAACTATCTTATTTCTACCATGGTGGTGGTGGCGGTTACACAGTGGGGGTGGCAATGGTGGTGGTGGTGACAATGGTGGTGGTGACTACCCAGAGCTTGCACCGATGTATGAGTTTGCTCGACACTCCACAGGAGGATGGATGTGTAGCCATGTAGTTATGTACTCATTAGCACATCATTTGTATTATGAGACCTTAACATTATGTAAAAATGTGTTTGCTTGATGAAAATTAAGTGTATAAATGAATGTTAAACTAATAAACATACTCAATTAATCAATTAGTAAGTTTATCTTTATAAATAAATGAATTGTATTTGCGTTTTCATTTTTTTTTTTTGCATTTCCATTGCGTTTTTGAAACGTTTTCATTTTTAAGCTGACCAAAACGGTACTCTCAACAATATTTCGATCCTTCGATTTGGGTTGATTCATTTTCTTCTAAAAGACTTGCCCCAATTTGACCCATATAAATATTAATCTAAGAGTCTCGATCAAGCAATTTTAGCCATAGTTGTTACTATCGTATGATATGCGATACATATCGTATGATGCATTACGATATTGAGCCAAAACGATATGGATTGTTGTTTTGTATCGTTTTTGCGTTGTATCGTCCGATATACGGTACGTTTTTATGATACAAATTTTTTTTTTAAAAAACGATGTCGTTTTGGGCTTAGAGATTGATTTTTTTATCCCTATAGGCTAGGGTTTATAAAAAAATTAAAATACCTCTTTTCTTCTCCGTTCTTCATTCTTCGTTGTTTGCTATCTTCACTCACTCTTGGGTGTTCTTTAGACTTCACGACAAGGATCATAGCAGTCGAACTTTGACAACGATCACACCAGCAGCAGCAATCGAACTTCGACAATGATCACAGCAGCAACAACCTTAGACGACGATCACAACAGCAGGAGCCTTAGACGACGATCACAGAAGAACCCTAGCCCCTTCTCTCTTCTCTCTGTTTTTGACGACGACGATGATGAAGCCATCGCTGTTCCTTTGTTCTTGACGACGAGATCTTTTCCTCTCTCTCTTCTCTCTGTTTTTTTTTTGTATTGTCTGTTTTTTTTTTCCGGGCAGCCTGTCCTCTTCAATATGTTTTAAAATTGGAAGAATTATACTTAGACCCCTTAAGTTTTATTACTTAATTATTTAAATCTCTAACATTTGAAATATTATATACAGACCCCTTAAAATTTATATACACGTAACACTTAAACCCTGCTGTAAATATATCCATTAATAAATTATATTTAGACACCCTAAAGTTTGTAAACATATATTTTATTATTAATTATTTAAAATTGCACTGTATCTTACGATACACTTTTTTTAAAAAATGATACAACTTTTGATACACGATTTGACAACTATAGTGTATATGTATAAAATAAATTAATTAAATCGTGTAACAGCATCATATGACAATCTGTCTTATTATGATTAGATAATATTGAATGCTTTGTTTTGATGTGAATGCTCTTATTAATCAATTTGCTTGATTAATCAATTTGTTATATGCTCTATTTGGTTAATCAATTTGTGAGTGCTTTGTTTAGTGATGATATTAATCAGTCACGATGGAAGTCGAACCCATATTTGTTAATTTTACATTTAGATGACGTGATTATGTCAATTGATTATTTTTAGAATACAATAATGTTCAATATTTAATATTTTGTCTATTTAAATATGTTGATTTTTATTATTTTGATTGCATTTAAATATTTTATATTTGTAAAGTTAAAACTTGAATATTTAAGAGTAATCAAAATATGAAACTAAAATATTTGCTTATTTTTTATATTGTTCGCTTCGCTTATCGCCTAGGCCCTCAGGAGATCAGTTCGTTTCGATTTGCTTTACGCCTTAAATAACACTGATATACACTCCTAGTCTGGATTGTGTTGCTTTGCTTGCCACTCCTACTTTAAGGTATAGTAATGTTAGTCTGTCCAAGACAAGTGGAAAGAGTAATGTTAGTAATCGTGGTATGTTGAAATGCCACTCCTACTTCACGGTATAGTAATGCCATTCTAAGCATGACCACTTGAGGTTAGAGGCATTCAGTGATGCTGATTGGGCAGCCTCAGTTGATGATAATAGATCTACCTCGGGAAAATGCACTTTTTTAATAGGGAATTTGGTTACTTGGCGTAATAAAAAACAATAAGTAGTGGCCATGTCCAGTAATAAAGTAAAGTATAAGGCTGTGACTCATGGCGTTTGTGAATTTATGTGGCTTTAGAGTTTGATGCAAGTCCTAGATATTTCAATTGATGGGCCTATGAAGTTGTATTGTGACAATAAGGCTATTATTAATATTGCTTATAATCCAGTTTAGCATGACAGAACCAAACATATTGAGATTGACAGACATTTCATCAAAGAGAAACTAAATAAGAGGGGATTTGTATACCTTTTTGTGAAATTAGGAAATCCATTGGCAGACGCTTTCACTAAAGGACTTAGTAGCAAAGTTTTACATCCCATTATTTGTAAGTTGGGCATGACTC